CAAAGGGGCATGTCAGTGGTTCAGTTTCGGGAACCACCAGTAGGAAGAGACCCCCAGAGGTCTGGGCATGGGGAGACTGAGGCAGTGATGGCCTGGTCTGCTCCCCAGGCCATAAAGCCGGTTACGTCAGTCATGGGTGCCGCTGGCTATGGTAGGATGCCTGGATGCAACTATCATGGCTCAGCTGGACCTGTGACTGACCTAGCAGAACGGAAACTGGAGGAACTGGTGTCCTGGATGCTAGCAGGTAACGAGGACTGTCCATCTTGGATGAAGGTACCTGTGGACACCACTGGGAGGCAAGTTCCAGAATTCACCTGTCCGGTTCCTATGCACACAGGCGCCACTACCTTTGGGCCAGATGTAGTCCTAGGCCTGAGGAAGAAGATGGGAGAGGGAAATCTCCTTCTCTACCTCGACAAGAAGCTACATATTAATATGCTAGCAGGTGATACCCCTGAGCCGAAGTGTTTTGTGAACAAGTGGGCACCCCGGCAGTTGCCACGGTATTCGGATAGCCACAGCCGACTGGTGCCCACCCGTGACCACCCACTTGGTCGGCACAGCAGTGTTCCCGGGGAGGAAAGATCACCTACACCTACAATGGGTCACTCCTTACATCTGGAGGAAAAGAAATGTAATCTCCAAACACGGAAATGTTTCTTCACAGTAAGAGCTGCGAAAATGTGGAATAGACTCCCTCAAGAGCTGGTTCTGGCCATCTCACTGGATTGCTTTAAAAAAGACCCGCATTCTTTCTTGGATACACAGAATATAACTGGTTACTAACATTTATAGGTAAAGTTGATCCAGGGAATATCCGATTGCCTCTTGGGGGATCAGGAAGGAATTTTTTTCCCTACAGGAGCAAATTGGATCATGCTTTGCTGGGTTTTTTTGCCTTCCTCTGGATCAACTGTGGGTATAGGATTATAACTTTCTTTTTTAATGGTTGAACTGGATGGACTTTTGCCTTTCTTCAGCCAGACTAACTATCTTACTATGTAACACCTTATACACACACACACACACACACACACACACACAGGATTGTATGACATTGACATATTCCAGGGAGCCTAGACACAGCTATGTATTGATTGTCAAGGGCTATGTAGGCAGTTAGTTTCTATAGCCCACACATGCATCATCCTACAGAAGAGCTGGCTCCAGATAGTATACAGACACTGGCAGGACACTATAAACTGGCAGAAATTTTAATCCGAGCTCTAGGTTTTTATTAATGTGTTGAAAAAAGACTGGTGGGGGGGAGGGCTACTTGGCACTCTGTAAAATAATTCTACTCATCCTAAAAATTATAGACCATTATTAAAGTATTATTTTTCATTGTGGCATTTCCACTTTAAGAAATATTAATTATAGGTTTACGAGTTTAAATCCAACTCATCATACTCAGATAGCAGCATAGGCAGACATTGTGTGCCAAAGATATCATCTAATGCTTTATTTCTAGTCATCTCAAAGACAAAAATGATTAATATCTTAAGGATATTACAGATGATGCCATAAATGAATCCTTATTGTGAGGATATAAAATTAAATTTGACATTATTGTGTATTAGTGGTACATTTCTTCCCACAAAGGTCTTTAGAATATTGGATGTAACAGTCTATTGAGTCACGGAAATATTACTCAGCAAACGCTTTTGAATCTCTAGTAACATTGTATGACAACTTCTTAAGGATGGCATTTTGTTGCTTAAAATATATTTCCTGTTATTAAATTCACAGCCTCAAGCAGGATGTTTGCTGCATAACACAAATACACAGGGACTTGTATCTTATTGTGTGAACACTAATTCTTCAATTCCATATAACACACACTGTATGACAGCATTATTCTCAATGTAGTGCTACACCTGCAGGAGCTGCTTGATATGTTGGGTTCTCTGTTCTTTGCCTCCACTGAACAACCTCTAGCCCTTTGGCACACCTGGTTACACAAATGGTAATTGCAAGCACTTATAGGAATAAGAATATAATTATTATATTATAATATTATTATTATATATTATACAGTATTTATAAAGCGCCAACAGTTCGCTCATCGCTGTACATTACAAAGGGGGACAGAACATGTGAAAGAACAATACCAATACATACAGGATTTATATAGTGCCAACAGTTTGCTCAGCACTTTACAATATAATGGGAGACAATACAGCAACAATACAGTTCAATACAAGAGGGATAGGAGGGCCTGATCCTGGGAGCTTACAATCTAGGAGATATATGGAGAATATAATTATCCTGCACACAACTGTACTCCAGTACCAAGGAATAGGCACCAGACTGATTGACTGTAAATAGAGTGAATACATTTTCACAGTTTAACCACTTCCCGTCCGGCTCATGAACATAGATGGCCGGAAGGGGGCAGTGCAGGAGCGGGTAGCCATTTATAAACGGCTTCTGCATTCACTGCCTGTGCGCACTCCCTGGGAGCGCGCGGGGCCAATTGCTGTACGGGATCTCTGTGTAAGGTCCCGATTCATGTAATCCCTGATTGGCCAATCAGTGATCACAGGAACAGTAGTAAACAAGATGCCACTTCCTGACATCATTGCTTACTACGTGTGAAATCTGTGAATGATCACAGAGGTCACATGGTACAAGGCTATTCACAACAGCCTTGTACCATGTGACAAGCTGTGACCAATCACAGCTCTCACATTATTTCTCAATGACTGCAAGAATGCAGCCAGACAGGAGAAATGATTGTTTTTACAGCCTTTATGGGTGTAAAAGCAATCAGTGTAAAAAAAAAGAGAAAAAAATTTCATCGCCCCCCACAGGTATGCTTAGCTCCAAGCATAACAGCCTTTTTCTAGGAACTCCTTAAAGCAGAGAACCAATCGCCTCATTTGGGGAGGGGTGTTGTAGGCGGGGAGCTCAGGCTATGACCAAATCCCTCCCAAATTATACTATGGTCAATAACTTTTCCTAGGTACATGTAACATTCTATCCACGGGTAGATTAATACACAGAATCATCTGCTGAACGTCTAGATATGAAATATGACATACCTGCTGGGATGGTTAAGGACATATCATGACGGAGGTTTCCCCACCGCCAGAATACAATGATCACTGCTGATAGCTATAGTCACAGACGGTGATCACACCGAATAAAACAACAGGCTGGTTGTACAGCGAATAGAAGGATTGTCAGGCTACACTTTTCTTTTTCTGGCATCTGGGCTTTAAACTTCCACCCACACATTCCCTGCAGGGAGTATGGGTGGGGCAGACACAGGAGGAGAGGGTGAGAGGAGGAGGAGCAGAACCATCTCTCTCTGTTCTCTCCATCAATGCTGAATGAAGGCTATGGTTATATCTACAGTACATCTATGAGAACCAAATTACTTTTGAAATTACATTTTGTCTCTTAAAGCTTAAAGTGTACGTATAAAAGCATCCACGTGGAGACAATAGTAAAATGTAAAGGAGAAATACCAAAATGGCCACCGCTCCGTCCTTCGGCAGCATGACATCAGCAAGAGGCTCCAGCCGACGCGTTTCGTGCACATGCATGTCTTCCCCGTTTTAAATCAGAGCTAGAGCTTCTCTACAAGGAAAGCCTATGTGACCTGCTAAATAGAGAGCTCTAGCTCTGACTCAGCAGGGGGCTTACCAAACCACTGCAGAGAGACCACTATTTCCGCACAGAGAGCAAAGGTCCTATTCTTCAGTATACTGGCAGGGCCCGGTTTTTCTACTAAAGCTGGCCATACAGTGTATGAATTTCAGCCTGTTCCTGATGAACTATCTAAAAATCGAACTGTAGGTGGCCCTGTTGCCATCCTAACATTTTTTTAGCAAAAAAAAAATTGAAGTGTCGGTAGGAAAATTTTTGGCTGAACAGCAGCTGCATCCAATCAGATCAGGCAGAGCCACAGTGGGAGATTCCCTTATCCACGTTGTATGGAAGGATGTTGCAAGGAATTTGTTAGATTTCTTTTGTTCAGGCTAATCAAAAATGTCTTTGTGTACCTATACCTCCCAACTTTAGAACTTGAGAATGAGGGACACTTGAGAGACATAGTATCCTGCTGTGTGCTAAGAGTACTGTGGCAAAAAGTGGCTGTGGTTAAATTACATTGGGCTGAAGGGGTATTTCCTAGTGCCAGAGGCAAAGCTGGTATTGTAAAAACTGAGGTACCCTTGGGTATCCCATGGAGAGCAGTAATGTAGTGCGCTCACCATGTGGCAGTGAACAATGAATGTGACCTAAATTTCATTCACCAGTGAGAGGGTTTAAGGGTATGGTTGAAAAAAAAATACAGGCCCTCCATGTACCTAGAAATTTTGCTTTCATTGCTACAGCCAAGAGTCTCAAAGAAACATAAAAGCCTCGGCACAAAATTAAAAATTAAACACTGCTATTACATATTCTTTTGTGTACATAGAAAATACAGAGATAACACGTTGTCTGGGTCAGGAGTATGCAACGCAGAGAATGCTGCAGTCAGTGTAGGAATACCTAACAAAGTGCAGGGATCATGGGTGTATAATGCACAGAATACAAGGGTCCAGGGTGTGAAATGCAAAGTGCTCAAAGGTTAGGAGTATGTAACGCACAGAATGCTGCAGTCATTGTTGAGTTTAGAAGTACATACCACATAAAGGGCAAGGGTCAGGAGCAAACAATGCACAGAATGCAGAGAACAGAAATGTGTAATGCATAATAGGGGTCAGGAGTAAAAAATGAAAGAAGTGCACGAGTCAGGGACGGGTAGGGGTCAGAAAAGTGCAAAATTCCCCAAACAGCAATACTCTCCCTTTTAGCAAAAATCTCCACTCTCCCACTCCCATAAAAAAATTCACTCTATTCAGTTGCCCCCTCCCAACAGAAATCCTCTCCTCTCACCACTAGAGTCCAGTGGTGGCGTGCTTTACACCACTGCATGCACCGACGCTTTGCATTGCACTTGGTGATGTAAGGCTTGGATGCAGCTGCTCGGCCATGGAAACCCATTCCATGAAGCTCTCTATGCACTGTTGTTGTGTTAATCTGAAGGCCACATGAAGGTTGGAGGTCTTTAGCTATTGACTCTTCAGCATGCGCTGACCCTGCTCTGTCATTTTACGTGGCCTACCACTTCGTGGCTGAGCTACTGTTCTTCCAGTTGCTTCCACTTGTTATAATACCACTTACAGTTGACTGGAATATTTAGTAGCAAGGAAATGTCACAGATGGACTTATTGCACAGGTGGCAAGCTATCACGGTACCACGGTTGAATTCACTGAGCTCCTGAGAGCCACCCATTCTTTCACAAATGTTTGTAGAAGCAGTCTGCATGTCTAGGTGCTTGATTTTATACACCTGTGGCCATGGAGGTGATTGGAACCTGAATCCAATGATTTGGAAGGGGGTCCCAATACTTTTGGCAATATAGTGTATGTATTGGTATCTGCTTTAATTTTCCCCCGCAGACTTTAGTCTAGGTGAAAATCAACAATTATTTATCACTACTTGCTCATTTCCATAATGTTTTTTTCCATTTCTCATTTGTTTAAAAGCATACTTTGAATTCTTAGTAACTTTGAAAAAGCTATGTCTCTGCCTTCAAATTAAACCCACTAGGATACATAGATCTCAATGTACAAAGTAGCCTTGAAAAATGCCATGGTGATTTGTCATAATATTCCATATATTCATTTCTTTTTTTGTGAATCAGCAAAAACATGATGCTGAGCATTGCCCCTGTGCTAGGTTAGGAATGTGATCGCTGGGTTTTACAACTCACATAGCACAATGTTTTACTTCTATTGGTTGCCGTGGCAACTCACTTTTATCATTTGTAGCCTAAGTATAACAAAAACACTTCACAAACACCTATGATACATTATCCCTGCGATTTCAATATGAACCATCAAACCAGTATATGAACACTCCACATTCATAATGGCTCACAGAGTCATTAATGGATCTCTACTACACCAAGAAAACATATGGTTTATTGAGATCCGTGTCTTCTACATACTGCGAGCTCTAATGCTACGGCTGGCAGTACTGCATAGTGAGACCTGATAACTGCATACCTCTTAACTGTCCCTTATTTGGAGGGAATGTCCCTCTCTTGGAACCAAATCCTTCTGTCTCCTTTTTCTTCTCCTTTGTTCCTCTATTTCTCCAAGCTGTGGCCCTGGGGCTGGATGTGGTCCTTTGCTTGCCTCTATCCGACCCTTGGGGCACTATTCCTCCCACAGACACTAACAATGGGGCACTATTCCCCCCCTAACACCAATGATGGGACACTATTCCTCCCACTGACACCAACAATTGGGCACTATTCCTCCCACTGACACCAATGATGGGGCACTATTCCTCCCACTGACACCAATGATGGGGCACTATTCTCCCCACTGATAAAGATGGGGCACTATTCCTCCCATTGGCACCAGTGATGGGGCACTATTCCTCCCACTAATACCAATGATGGGGCACTATTCCTCCCACTGACACCAATGATGGGGCACTATTCCTCCCACTGACACCAATGATGGGGCACTATTCCTCCCGACACCAATGATGGGGCACTATTCCTCTCACAGACACTAACAATGGGGCACTATTCCCCCCCCCTAACACCAATGATGGGCCACTATTCCTCCCACTGACACCAATGATGGGGCACTATTCCTCCCACTGACACCAATGATGGGGCACTATTCTCCCCACTGATAAAGATGGGGCACTACTCCTATTGGCACCAATGATGGGGCACTATTCCTCCCACTAATACCAATGATGGGGCACTATTCCTCCCACTGACACCAATGATGGGGCACTATTCCTCCCACTGATACCAGTGATGGGGCACTATTCCTCCCACTGACACCAATGATGGGGCACTATTCTCCCCACTGATAAAGATGGGGCACTACTCCTATTGGCACCAATGATGGGGCACTATTCCTCCCACTAATACCAATGATGGGGCACTATTCCTCCCACTGACACCAATGATGGGGCACTATCCTCCCACTGACACCAATGATGGGGCACTATTCCTCCCACTGACACCAATGATGGGGCACTATTCCTCCCGACACCAATGATGGGGCACTATTCCTCCCACAGACACTAACAATGGGGCACTATTCTCCCCACTGATAAAGATGGGGCACTACTCCTATTGGCACCAATGATGGGGCACTATTCCTCCTACTAATACCAATGATGGGGCAGTATTCCTCCCACTGACACCAATGATGGGGCACTATTCCTCCCACTGATACCAGTGATGGGGCACTATTCCTCCCACTGACACCAATGATGGGGCACTATTCCTCCCACTAATACCAATGATGGGGCACTATTCCGCCCACTGACACCAATGATGGGGCACTATTCCTCCCGACACCAATGATGGGGCACTATTCCTCCTACTGACACCAATGATGGGGCACTATTCCTCTCACTGATACCATTGATGGGGCACTCATTCCCCCAATACCAAACGTGGCGATGTTTATTCCCACTGATGCTCTGAAAATTTCCATTCCTGCTGGCCACAGTCTAGCTCCCCTAAAGTTTGAAGGACAATAAACTGGCCCTTTGTTTAGAAAGTTTGGAGACTCCTGCTCTGTTGGATCTGATGTATAGACCTCTATAGAAAAAAGAAGACAGGAACGGTCTAGCAGCACGGAGGAGCGGAGGACTGGAGGATCAGATGGGTACTGTACATCTAATTTTCTATGGCACCCTAGAAAACAAGTCTCTAATCTTTGCAGTGGGGCTGGGAAAATTTTTAAGCTACTTGGAGTTGGTAGTACTCCTTTCATCCTATGTTTAAATTATTTTAATTTATTTATTTCAGGTACTTATATATTGCCGTCAGTTTGCGTAGCGCTTTTTATATATTGTACATTCACATCAGTCCCTAACCCTCAAGGGGAGTACAATCTAAGGTCCCTAACTCACATTCATACATACACATACTAGGGACAATTTAGACAGGTGCCAATGAACCTACCAGCATGTCTTTGGAGTGTGGGAGGAAACCGGAGTACCCGGAGGAAACCCACGCAGGCACAGGGAGAACATGCAAACTCCAAGTAGGTGGTGCCGTGGAAAGAAAAAAAACATATGGTTTGTTGAGATCCGTGTCTTCTACATACTGCGAGCTCTAATGCTATGGCTGGCAGTACTGCATAGTAAGACCTGATAACTGCATACCTCTTAACTGTCCCTTATTTGGAGGGAATGTCCCTCTCTTGGAACCAAATCCTTCTGTCTCCTTTTTCTTCTCCTTTGTTCCTCTATTTCTCCAAGCTGTGGCCCTGGGGCTGGATGTGGTCCCTTTGCTTGCCTTTATCCGACCCTTGGGGCACTATTCCTCCCACAGACACTAACAATGGGGCACTATTCCCCCCCTAACACCAATGATGGGACACTATTCCTCCCACTGACACCAACAATTGGGCACTATTCCTCCCACTGACACCAATGATGGGGCACTATTCCTCCCACTGACACCAATGATGGGGCACTATTCCTCCTACTGACACCAATGATGGGGCACTATTCTCCCCTGATAAAGATGGGGCACTATTCCTCCTATTGGCACCAGTGATGGGCACTATTCCTCCCACTAATACCAATGATGGGGCACTATTCCTCCCACTGACACCAATGATGGGGCACTATTCCTCCCACTGACACCAATGATGGGGCACTATTCCTCCCGACACCAATGATGGGGCACTATTCCTCCCACAGACACTAACAATGGGGCACTATTCCCCCCCCTAACACCAATGATGGGCCACTATTCCTCCCCCTGACACCAATGATGGGGCACCATTCCTCCCACTGACACCAATGATGGGGCACTATTCCTCCTACTGACACCAATGATGGGGCACTATTCCTCTCACTGATACCATTGATGGGGCACTCATTCCCCCAATACCAAACGTGGCGATGTTTATTCCCACTGATGCTCTGAAAATTTCCATTCCTGCTGGCCACAGTCTAGCTCCCCTAAAGTTTGAAGGACAATAAACTGGCCCTTTGTTTAGAAAGTTTGGAGACTCCTGCTCTGTTGGATCTGATGTATAGACCTCTATAGAAAAAAGAAGATAGGAACGGTCTAGCAGCACGGAGGAGCGGAGGACTGGAGGATCAGATGGGTACTGTACATCTAATTTTCTATGGCACCCTAGAAAACAAGTCTCTAATCTTTGCAGTGGGGCTGGCAAAATGTTTAAGCTACTTGGAGTTGGTAGTACTCCTTTCATCCTATGTTTAAATTATTTTTATTTATTTATTTCAGGTACTTATATATTGCCGTCAGTTTGCGTAGCACTTTACATATATATTGTACATTCACATCAGTCCCTAACCCTCAAGGGACGTACAATCTAAGGTCCCTAACTTACATTCATACATACACATACTAGGGACAATTTAGACAGGAGCCAATTCACCTACCAGCATGTCTTTGGAGTGTGGGAGGAAACCGGAGTACCCGGAGGAAACCCACGCAGGCACAGGGAGAACATGCAAACTCCAAGTAGGTGGTGCCGTGGTTGGGATTTGAACCAATGACCCTAGCACTGCCATTGTTTTGAACTGGTAGTATAAGGCCTCATCTACACTGGCGACAGTCTCAGCTGCATGTGATGCCTATTTCACTGCCAATACTTGGTGTCTCTTATCCTAATGTCTATGTGAATATTTCCAATGCCTTTTTCTTCAATAAAGGAACATTTTGGTTGTTAAAAGTTATTTTTTCACTGGAAGCAATATAAGTACCTGAATTTTAGCTTGTTTTAGAATCCTTATGAAAACATGCACGCAGCAAAGCTCAGGCCCTGTTCACACTTGAGAATTTGCAATCTCAGGCAAAATTGTCGCGATTCTGCCAGCGATCCCAAAACGCTCTTCACAAATGACAATTCTCACCTTGCCTGTTCTGGTGCTATTCATTTTCAATGGCACCAAAATGCAAGAAGGTTCTGACCTGATGAATCGTGCTGAAATCGCACTGAAATTGCAGCAAACCGTATCCCGTCCTCGAAGCATGTCACCCAAAAAGGAGCAGGAGCTTCCTTTGGGTGACAAGCTTTGCTTAATGTGGTTTGCCGCGATTGCAGCACGATTTATCATGCAACAATCATGGCAGAACCGCACCGTGTTTTGGTACCATTGAAAATGAATGGCACCAGAACAGACGTGATGCAATTTTTTCATTTGTGCAGAGCGTTTTGGGATCGCCGGCAGGATCGTGGCAATTCTGCCGAAAATCGCAAACGCTC